AAACTACATCGATGCGCAAGATCATGTTCCAAACAGATTTAATTGCTGTAAACAGATCAATATATTTTTATGGATGAGATGAATCTGTCCCATTTGCCTGAAACAGATTATAAATATATTTGTCNTTTTTTTTAGTTAGTTGCTAACCACAAGGAATAATTCACTTATATCCCATGTGGATTGAAATTTGCTTTTCATTTCAAAGCTATGTTTGGCAGCAGTATAGATCTTTTAAAAATGTGCACTTTTTGCATCACCAATAAATTTATTAGCCCTATTTAAAGACAAGATTGAGAAAAGTTCACCTATAAAAGATCACCTATCCCCGGACAGAATTGACAAAACTCTCCTCTCTTTGATTGTTAACTTCTTCAGCCAAAGAATGTGGGCAGTCTCGATTCAATCTGCTGCAGACATTGATTTACAGTGCAAATTCCCCCCAAATAGGCGCAGATGCGATGGGCCGAATGGCCTCTTTCTGTGCTGTTTGATTCTATGCTTCTATGATTCTAAAATAGAGCCATAAAGCCATTGAAATTTACGGCACAGAAGAAGGCCATTCGGTGCTGTGCTGCTCCCTCAAGAACAATCCTTACCTGGCCTTTCCCCATATCCCGATTGTATCACTAAGCAACACCACTCAGAGACCTCAAGGATACCCGGTGTGGAAGGTGAAAGTGTCACTCTGATGTAATGGTGAGTTCTCTTCTGAGGATGTACTTTGAGAAGCAGCATTACTCTGCAGCAGGTTGTTCTACATAAGAACATATGAAAATAAGAAATGGTAGACAAACAAGACCAAGGTCCATCTAGTTCGCCTTCCATCTTCCTGGCGGTCACATGCACATGTGTCCCAAACTACCCATATACTATATCCCATAATGTTATTTCCTAAAAGAAAATTAGTAATCTGTGTTTAAAAGAATCAACATTTCCTGCTTCAACCATCTCCCTAGGGAGCCTGTTCCACAGGTTCATTATTGACTCACTGAAATAGTGTTTGCATAGAATGGTTCTGAATTTATCCCCCCCTGCCCCCACCCCTTCAATCACAGGCCATGTCCTGGTTTTACTATTCTGGATCATGCAATGTTCATGTTAAGCATTTCCATGTTATGCTTGGCTAATAATTCCCCAGATAAAATTGGTCATTTGTTTAATTGTTGGACATTCCTGTGCGCAAATTGGCTGCCACCTTTGTCTGTACACTACACTTCACTGTACAGTACTTTGGAACGTCCTCTCGAAGTGAAAGAGGCTATATCAAATGTAAGCATTAATATTATTACAGTAGCAGGAGCAATCACATGTGAAGATCTTTTCAAGATGGTAAGCTTTGAAAGTGAGAGACCTGGGTTTGATTCCCGGCAGGGTGAAACCTTGGGCAAGTTTCCTTACTCCACACGCCTGATAATAATCCCTCAAAAAAACAATAATAAATTGGTCATTTCAATCCCTGACTGTTTGTGGGACACTGCTGTGCGCGATTGCCTGCTGCATTTCGCCCACAAATATACAGTCAATTCACTTCACTGTATATTCTGTGAAGCGCTTTGAGACGTCTAGAAGACGTGAAAAGCGCTATATCAAATGGAAGGATTATTATTATTATTAAGTTCTTTCTTGTGACTCCGATGTCATCGATTAAACACAACTTTCCAACAGACTAATTTCCCCCCTGCAATCAGTGCTGGTGATGGGTTTGTGCTCATTTTATTTAAATTCAAACGAACTGATTTTTTCCCCATAATTTTTTAAAATCTTCTTTCAGATGTTGATCCAAACACTTTCTCAGTGTGTTTGTGTTGCCCCCTGTCGGTGTCCCCTGGATACTACAGACCTGACACAAAAAAAAGTTGGAAGAACCAAAGTACAGTATTTCAGTCCAGAACATGAATGAGTGGTCGAACTATAGAAATACATGTTTCAATTGCGAGATAGAGTTAACAGATCCATGGGAAACGAGAAACATTTTAGCAGCATTTTAATTTCCTACCATCACTATGAGTTAAACAGATTAGTTACTGTTTGACGTTTCAGGGTTTTATTATTATCGTTAAAACAGCGATATGTTAGCAGCTATAATTCGCTAGATAGTTAAATAGATTGTCATTAGACTAGCAGTAACACAGAGGCTTGGACACAGAGCATTCGCCTTGCAAGCGAGACACCTGGGTTAAATTTCAGGAAAGGCAAAACGTTGGGCAAGTTTCCTTACTCCATACGCCTAAGAAAAACAATAATAAATTGGTCATTTTCAATCCACGACTGTTTGTGGGACGCTGCTGTGCGCAATTGGCTGCTGCGTTTTGCCCACAAATAGACAGTCAATTCACTTTACAGTATATTCTGTGAAGCGCTTTGAGACGTCTAGAAGACGTGAAAAGCACTATATCAAATGCAAGGATTATTATTATTAACATGGTGCCACACATATGGGGTTAAATGGACTTCATAGCTGTATTGTGTCAAGCTTAAATTATGTTTGAGAGTAACCAGATTTGCATTACCAGTAATATTAACACTTGATGCATTAACAGTGTTTAAACACGGCCAGACATTTACCTCATTTAAATATCAGCAAAATGAATCTCCTCCCGCGAGAAAGTCTGAAGTTTGTGGTTTGAAATACAAAAGACCTTTCTCAAGTGAAAGGTGTCTTTAGCTCTAGTTACACAATATCTCTCTAGGCAGGAAATACTCATTGTCTGGAAACTCTGCGGAACTGGATCCCCTCAATAGTGTAAGCCCATCTGCCCTTCACTAATTGAGAGGGAGAGTAATAATACTAATCCTTAATTATTATTATTATTATTAACATGGTGCCACACACATGGGGTTAAATGGACTTTATAGCTGTATTGTGTCAAGTTTAAACTGTGTTTGAGAGTAACCAGATTTGCATTACCAGTAATATTAACACTTAATGCATTAACAGTGTTTATAATAATTAATAATTAATAATAATTAATGCAGACACTGCTGTCTGGCAACGAGGAAGCTGGTTACAGTGTTTCCAGTCTTACTCAGCAGCCACAGGCTTTCACAATAACTGTATTAGCATCAATCAGTGAATGAATGATGGCACATAAGCCCTCAGCCACACCGTAACTGTGCAAATAATAATAATAATTATTATTATTATTAACTGTGCAAAGACTTCACTGACAACCTTGCTCAATGCTACAGGTTCCTCTGATGTTAAAAGCTCTTTAGTGTGACAAGCCTTTGCAGTCCAGTGAAATGCGGGGCTTCATCCCCCTTTTTGGGGGGTAATAAGGGGAACCCACGAAAAAAAAGCCCCCTTTGCCCCTGGCAGTGGGAGCTCACTCAGCCACTGGTTATATTAAAACATGCTGACGCCACGACCCCACAGCTCCCCTACTTCTATCTTTTTGTGAAGACCATCACGTCAATTCCAATGGAGTCCTGTAGCTCAGTGGTTAGAGCACTCGCTTTGCAAGTGAGAGACCCGAGTTCAATTCCAGGCAGAGGGCGAAACCTTGGGCAAGTTTCCTTACTCCACACAGAGCCTAATAATAATCCCTCCAAAAACCCAAAACAATAATAAATTGGTCATTTTCAATCTACGGCTGTTTGTGGGACATTGCTGTGCGCAATTGGCTGCCGCGTTCGCCCACAAATATACAGTCAATTCACTTTACAGTGTCTTCTGTGAAGCACTTTGGGACATCCTCCCGACGTGAAAAACGCTATATCAAATGCAAGGATTATTATTATTATAATAAGGCAAAAGATCACAGCTTGAGCTTATATAAACAGAGCTGCTTCTCTCCAGACCCACAGACCCCCATCATCTCCAGCCTGTCTCTGCTGAGCCCAGCACATAGGGGGAAGAGGAGCTCTCTCTCTCTCTCTCCCTCCCTCACCCCTCCATCTCTCTCTCACACACACACACACCATCACCCTGCAGGTGGGAAGCAGCTGATTTTGCAAAGCTTTGAAGAAGTTCAGGAAGGCGCAATACAACAACAACAACAAGATTCCATTTATAAAGCGCCTTTCACGTCAGGAGGACGTCCCAAGGCGCTGCACAGTTGGGTCATGACCCGAGCAGGGGGGGAAATGGTCAGGGTGAGGGGAGGGAAGGGAGGGAGCGAGGAGGGGGGAAATGGTCAGGGTGAGGGGAGGGAAGGGAGGGAGCGAGGAGGGGGGAAATGGTCAGGGTGAGGGGAGGGAAGGGAGGGAGCGAGGAGGGGGGAAATGGTCAGGGTGAGGGGAGGGATGGAGCGAGAAGGGGGAAGAGAGTCGAGAGGGGAGCTGAAGGCTCGGTCAAAGAGAAAGGTTTTGAGACCGGAGGATTATTATCATTTATTATTATTAGAGAGAGAGAGAGAGAGAGAGAGTGTGCCTTTGTGGTTGAAAAAAATCATCAGGTCATCTTTCTCAAAACCACCTCTTTCTTTTTTTGCTCTTTCTTTCTTCCGCCTCCGATTATTCCCGGCGGCGAGAGTGGTGCAAAATAGAAACGTGAGGGTGGAGTGGGGTGGGGGGGGTCAAAAAAAAAAATATATTAAAAAGGAAAAAAAAAACAGCACCACTCATGTCTCCATGAATTGGATTGAATCCAAGTGATCCAGGAATGCACAGTGCGCCTCTCTCTCTCTCTCTCTCTCTCTCCCTAACGTTGCGACATCTGCGCTGTTGAGGCATTTGCAGCGGATCGATGGCTCTTTTATGTCCCCCCCCCTCAATGATCAATAAATCAATCAATCAATCAATCAATCAATCAATAAATAGGCTGCGAGGGCGGGGTGAGTGCTGGAGGTGTGAGCAGGATGTCGCTGTGTGTGGGAGGGGAGGGGAGGGGGAAGGGGGGGATATGATGCATCGCAGTTGCAGAGTGGTCCGGGTCAGTGAGGCGGGGGGTAATCTCTGAGCTGCGTCAGGATAAGGGTCCACCAGTCACCAAACCAGGACCGGTCTGGGAGGGTATTTAAGAAGCGCACGAACTGAGCCCAGAAACTCACTCACTCAGTGTGTGTGTGTGTGTGTGATCTGCCAGGACTGCCCTGCTCTGACTTTGGGACTCGAGCCCTGTAGGTAAGAGACTCACACCTCTCTCTCACCCCCCCCCCACACACCCCCTCCTCACACCTCTCTCTCACCCCCCCCCCCCACACACCCCCTCCTCACACCTCTCTCTCCCCCTCCCCCCCACACCTCTCCCCCCCACACTCACACCTCTCCCCCCCACACCCCCAATGCTTCCCTTTCAGTCTGGTTTCCATTCAAGATCTCGTTTTTTTTTTAAACGTGTGTCTCGGGTATCTGCTCCTGTCAGATATCCCACTCTTCGAGACTTCGCTGTGTTTTTTTTTCCATCAGTGGTGACCCCCTTTAGGGTGCCCCTGGGTGCCCCTGGGTGCCTGGCTGCCTGGGTGCCTGGGTGCCCCTGGGTGCTTGGCTGCCTGGGTGCCTGGGTGGGTAGCTGCTCCTGGGTGCCTGGGTGCTCCTGGGTGCCTGGGTGGGCAGCTGCTCCTGGGTGCCTGGGTGGGCAGCTGCTCCTGGGTGCCTGGGTGGGCAGCTGCTCCTGGGTGCCTGGGTGGGTAGCTGCTCCTGGGTGCCTGGGTGGGCAGCTGCTCCTGGCTGCCTGGGTGGGCAGCTGCTCCTGGGTGCCTGGGTGGGCAGCTGCTCCTGGGTGCCTGGGTGGGCAGCTGCTCCTGGGTGCCTGGGTGGGCAGCTGCTCCTGGGTGCCTGGGTGGGTAGCTGCTCCTGGGTGCCTGGGTGGGCAGCTGCTCCTGGGTGCCTGGGTGGGCAGCTGCTCCTGGGTTTCGTAAGAAAAGGCTTTTGACAGAACTACAGCAATGATAACCTGAACTCTGATCTTTAAGCTCAAGTTTCCCACGTGAAGGGCGCTACAGAAATGCAAGTTGTTGTTGTTGTTGTTGTTGTTGCCGAACAGGTTACAAGTCAGTGTTGTCAGTTCTGGAGAGCAGATTCTGTGTTTTTTTTGGCCATCTCCTGTGTCCTGTTAGCAGCTTCGCACTTATTCATTGTCATAGCTAAAAGTGGGCGAATTCTTGTAATACGGATTGCAGACGGTCACTTGGAAAAAGATCACACAGTAGGGTTTGGAATTCTCAATCAGCCAATTCTATTTTGACGAACTGAAACGTGTTAAAGTCATGTTAACTATTGCAAAAGCTTCGACTTCCAACGAGGTCTGGATTTGTTGGATTACAGTTCTTTTTAATATCTCTGGTATGTTCATGTGTAGGTGAGATGCCTGTAACTCTCAGTTTGGTTTGGATACTCTTAAGCATGGAGATGGGTTTCCGAATATGCCGGACGCCAGACTGACCCCCAAAAATTCAATGCAGAAAACAACCTTCCTTAACTAACCAGCTAAACCAATGTTCATTAGTACAAATAGCCTGTCATAACTAATGCAGCATTTCATAGGGAGAAGCTTGGATACCAAACAGTTGGTAGCAAAATAATCTAAACAGCAATTATATCTGGATATGAAGAATGATGACAAAGTACTTGTTTCCTTTGTAAAAATGTTATTTATAGCTTTCTAAAAAGCACCAAAGCTAGGACCGAATGTAAATTATTTTCATTTTTAGACTGGAAAATATTGTAATAATAATTATACAGTGCCTTATCACGTTATTGAGATGTCTCAAAGTGTTTCACAGGATATACTGTAAAGTGGATTGACTGTGTATTAGACTGCTGTCAATTGAAGAATCTGTTTGTCAAATTATTCCTTTATTAGGGTATTAGACCACGATTGCCACTTAAACGCTAGTACAGAGCGATCTAGCAGTGTGATGACCTGCTTTTCCACAGCATTAACCCTTGTCAGAGGTTACCTCTCCATTTAATGGCAGCCATGTAAAACATGATTAAAAATGAGTGAGATACTGTAAAAAGCTACCGCTTCACGCTTGCAATTATAGGACTAGCACTTACTGATCCATCTCTTACAGTTACACTCTGGGGTTTGGGTGGACAATATACTATGAACTGATATTTTTTAAGCTTCCACTAAAATGAATGGGAAATGAACTTTTAGACTTATAAGAATTAGACAGGTATCAATGATGCATTTTCTTGTTCAGTCAGAAGACTACTTTTGAACTGAACCAGCATCTCAATCTTTTGTTTTGAATTCTCTGTTTATTCTGACATTCATTCACCGTATATTTGTTTGTAGTAATGCATGATTCATTGAATGTATGTTCACCACCAAACACACAGTCACCGCACTTTACAGTTTATCCTGTGAAATGCTTTGGGACATACGTAAGAAGCTCTATACCAAATGTAAGGATTATTATTTTTATTGTAGGATGATAGACTTTTGCAAAATGTTCTCTGGCTCAGTCCTGTTTCTTGTCAATACTAACAACATAATTACCTCATGCTATCAACTTTGATTTGCTCAGTACATCACAATGAAAGAAAGCATCCAAAATAGCCTTGGCTTTCCTATGTATTTTCCGTTTGATTGTACCTTCAGTTAAATCCTTTCAATGCTACCTCTTTCGTTCGGCACTGCTCAGTGATCCCCATCGTGTTTGAGTGGAGTTGTCAAAATGTCTCAAAGCACTTCACAAGCTTTACTGTAAAGTATAATGACTGCATATTTGTAGGAAAACAAATATACGTGCAATTTTGTGTTTTATGTTGCCCATATACATATGTTCCGGATAGATATTGTACAACTTAACCTGATATTTAGTGGATGAAAATATCTGAAAACATTATAGTCACAGAATTTAGTCACAAAACTGTTGTGTGTTAATGTATATTGTTGGAGTATAAAGGTTCCTTAATCTGGTTTTCTGCACCCAGAACATGATTGATCAGCAAATGAAAGTTGTCTCTGAGAAAATGTAGAAGGAAGAAAACTTACTTACGTTTTGAAACCCCCCATATTAATTTGTCGAATTCATTCAACAAATTACAGCACGCTAAACTCAGCTACGATGGTATTTGCAACCAGTGACTCATACTATGTTTAAAGGTAGCTGCATAATTCAGGTGTAAGGTCCATGTAGAGTGGAAACATCTTAATAATAAAGCTTGCATTTGGTATAGCCCCTTATAATGTTGTTGAGACATCTCAAAGAGCTTCACAGAATATATTGTAAAGTGAATTGACTGTATATTTTGTGGGTGAAACTCGCCAGCCAATTGAGCACAGCAGTGTTCCACAAATAGTCAGGGATTGAGTGTCTACATTTTTTTTTGGAATGGATTATTATCTCTGGAAACGATTCACCAAATGAGTAACAACTGAGTTCCGATTTACTGGGATTTTACTTGGTGCTAGGATTTAGTCTATAATCAATAAACAATAAATAAACTGTCTATAATCAATAAACAACAGAAAAATGGGGATTTTGTCCATCATTGAACAAATAATAATAATAATAATGCTTGCATTTGATATAGCGCTTTTCACATCAGGAGGATGTCCCAAAGCGCTTCACAGAACACACTGTAAAGTGAATTGACTGTATATTTGTGGGTGAACGCGGCAGCCAATTGCGCACAGCAATGTCCCACAAACAGTCGTAGATTAAAAATGACCAATTTATTATTGTTTTTGGTTTTGGAGGGATTAATATTCCCACTATTTGCCAACATGTATTTCTAACCTCAGATTTTCCCAATGTCTGTGCCTCTTCATTTGATTGTGTAAGGTAGTGATTTGAGAAATACTGCTTAATACAAAGGTGTGTCTAATTAAATTAATCACTGCATCTTGCTCTTATCTCTCTTTACTCCAGCTATGAACAACGGAATCTGCGTGTGTGTGTTCCTTGCTGTTCTCTCCTCAGGCTGCGTTGGCAGACTGGCTGATGGTTCGGACTATGGTAGTCCAATAGCTAGCGAGGTTGAGGAAAACCTCACCATGCAACAGAAGCAAACTCGGGAAACCCAATCTCTTGACCATCTGAAACCATTCCAGATGGGAAGGTTCAACAAAGAGGAAAAACCCAACTTGGGAGGTCTTCTCACAAGATACCTTCAGCAAGTTAGGAAAGGTAAGGCATGTCAGTGATGGAGAGGACCTCTGGCAGATTTAGCAACCCAGCAGATTTCTATACATTTCTAAAATTCACCATTAAATATGTCTACAACACAGTTGCTTTCATCATCACAAAACTGATATTCTAGGTGAAATTGTTCATCAGTGCCATTATGTCCACTTAAAGATTAGCTATAAGAAAAGATCATTTTTACAAGAAAAATGAAATGTGTGTGTGTGTGTATATATATAATATACATATGCCCGACACTGGCTTGTAGGGTTAACAGGAGGATTCACTGCCCCCCATGACTGGTCTACCCTTCCAAGTCCTGCCGATGAGCCAGACTGACTGTGTTGTCATCAGCAATGCCCTGGAGTACTATGGAGCTGCCTGGCTCAATAAGGTACATTCAGAGACCAGCAAGTATTTTTATTTCAAGGAAATGGAAAGCAGAAGATCACACTCATCAGAAGTTATTTGAGTCACTGCACTTTTGGCACAGGTTTGCAGCAGGTTGCCCATTCACCTTTTGTTCAAAGAATGGGAAGGGACCTTAAGGGCAGGAAAAATAACTAAGATCAAAGACAAGAAAGAATTTAATGAAGAGGTAAAAGATGAAGTTGTCTCCCTCTCTTTGAGACATATGACAGGCATACTCTTCCTGAATTCCAAGCAGGTTGACAATCTGCTGCTTAGCTTCTGCTATTCTTTTACTGAGACTGTCTAATAGAATCTGTGTATGTTCCCCAAAAACTCGTGATGTTCTCAGTGGCTGGCTTGAACCACCCACTGCACAAAGCTTATTGGAAAATAATAGGGATTAATAGGAATAAACCTGAAATGCTCCAGTAATGGCAGCTGCTGGGCAGTTCCTTGTGTGTTTACCTAGTCGTTTTAAAAATGAGGAAGCAAGGGATTTAGACAGTCGAGTTAGTAAAGTTGTAAGTTGTCCAGTCTCTTCAGGCCTCTGCATTAAAACTTTCCTTGACAAAATCTTAAAGAAAAACCCAGTCATAAAACTGCGCTGTTGATATGTTATTGTATGAACAGTTATGTCACACAATTTCCTTTCAAGGAGCAGGTCACATTTCCTGTGCTTAATTTGCAGTTCTTCTCACTTTATTTTTCTGAAGGCCCATTTCTCTTCACTGATATTCTATTCATTTTACATTTAATAAGCAGAAAATAATGACACATCTTATCACTATTCTTATCAAGGTCACAAACACAGGATATTGTAGCTTTCTTTCCCTCTCATGTCAGGTGGAGGCTTGTATTTGTTTCTTTCAAAATCAGCAATGCAGTCATTCTCCACCACGAGCATCAGGATTAATATGAAAAAAAACAGCAATGAGGAGAAATGTGTTCATTATGTGAAGACCGAAATTTAGTAAGAACCATAATTTGAAAAGAACCAGAGTACTAGTTGACCCTATCTCAAATGATGTATATGTATAAGTTTAACATTGCCATTTGCACCAATTGTATTACACATGGTCATGATAAGGCAGGTGCTTGCAAGTTGATTGTTTGACATACTAATTTAAACGTTAGCATAACTCAGTTCCACAGGTAAAATGCACTCCCATTTCTTATAAAATTCCCAATGTATCATTTGTTACTAGATGACCAACATTTCACAACATCTGCGAAATTTACCGATGACTACTTTTTCTGGCAGTAATTTCTGAAGTGATAGAATCAGTAATGTTGTTGTTGGACATTGTCTTTATTAAGAAATATCACAATTTAGAAACTGTCATATTTCCAATTTATTCACAATTTATTCCTGTAAGATCCACCCAAGTAACATCTCTTGTTCACGTACAAATGCTCAGTCATTACACTTAACTGTGAAGCACTTTGAGACAATGTGACAAACAAGGATTAGTTATCAAATGAATATTATTAATGCAAGGATTATTTATCAATATTTCTGAAGGAAAGGCTGCAAAGGATGCCAGCAAGTAGACCTGTTCTTAGCTCCCACCAAGGGAACTGATCAATTGTTATATACAACAACAAATTGCATTTATAATGTGTCTTTCACATCGGGAGAAAGTCCCAGTGATGCAAACTGACTTCCTTTACAAGGAAATCATCTCACTCTATTTTCATCAAATTACCTACTGTAAGGGGATGTTGTATTGTTCATCTGAAACTGAGAATATGAATCTTATCAATGTAGCACAGCACACTGCTGCACTGAGTTGAGTGAATTGGCCACATTTTGTGTGTGTTTTTGTATATATACACACACACAATAATAATAATAAACCTTATATTAGGCAATAGCACCATTCATATCAGGAGGATGTCATAAAGCACTTTGCAGGACCCACTGTAAAGTACATTGACTAGGTGTTTTGTAATTACATAATATAATCTTTATTTCACACTTTTATATTTATTAAGAGTAGGGCAAGGAAACATTTCCATTGTTGGTATCCACTACTTGTATCAAGCTCTACAGTGTCATATAAATTGGGGTTAAGGTTTCCTCTGTAACTCAACAGTATTCTTGAGCATGAGCACTTCCTACTTCACCAATGTGAAGTCTTCATTTCCCACATTGGCTTACCAATTTAATGACATTTTTGCCAAATTATCAGTAGCTGTATGCTGCTACCTCACACCCACTAGGAACTGAACGGAGACTCTCCAGATGTATTTCATGCTTATTTTCATTGGTTCTGGCTGCATCTGAGCCAAAGTTTTGGAGGCTACCTAAAATGGCATCACACTTCCTTTATTTTTCTTTAGAATCCAAGAATAAATGCAAGACTGCAGATCTAATTTTCATCTTTGTCTTCTTTAGGTTCTTTGGCAAAAAATGCCCTTGCTGGAAACAAATCGCAGAAGGTGGATAACTCCCATAGGCTAAGTGACAGGGATTACATGGGCTGGATGGACTTTGGTCGACGCAGTGCTGAAGAGTATGAATATTTGTCATAAAAAGTACAAATCAATATGCTCTAATTGCTGTATAAAAGAGGAACTTTAATTTGGTGTCTTAATTTTTAGTGTTTAAAAATGATCTATTTATTATGCCATTCAATGTAAATTTGTTTCTAAGATTGTATGATGGAATATACAAACTCGGACTTTTACGGAATAGTCTTTGTCTCAAACCAGTTTCTTATCAATACTAATGACATTAAAATAATTTAAAATATCTCATTCTGTCAACCTTGAGTTGTTTAGTATGTCACAATAAAAGAAAGCAGAACAGAAACTTGGTTTTATCTTTTACAATCTGTAAATGTCAGCAATTGCTTACTCAGCAATCCTGTGTGTGTTGTTAAACTGTTAGATTATTGAGAGGGGAGAAGAACTATAATAATAAAGTAATAATAATAATTCTTGCATTTGATATAGCGCCTTAACACATCGTTGAGACGTCTCAAAGCACTTCACAGAATATACTGTAAAGTGAGTTGACTGTGTATTTTGTGGGCAAAACTATTTAGGAGAATCCTATTGAGTTTATTGTTGTCAACAAAATGACTGACCTTTTGTGACAACTCATCCTTTAATCCTCTTCCATTTAGCAATGTGCACAACATTGAAATGAAAGGAAGGTTTGATCCTGATCAATCAACTTTGCTGAATTATTCACCCCACGTTTCACGATTTCACATTTTTTTTGTCAGACTTCACCAATCAGTTGATGAATAATTCCACAAAGAAGGTATCTGTGTATAATATCTAATCATTGCATGTCATATATAAAATCAAACGTCACAAAGTAATTTGCTGTCACAATGCAATGTATTTGTAGGAAAACACAGTAGCCAATTTGCGCACAGCAAGTTCTCACAAACAGCCAAAGCAGGTTCTACAAATAGTCAACTTATATGATCAGGATACTGTAACAGGTGCACAGGAAGATATTAAATATAAAGTCAATTCACTTTACAGTATAATCCGTGAAATGCTTTGAGACGTCTCGAAGATGTGAATAAGGCGCTAAATCAAATGCAATTATTATTACATCTTGGTTTAAAATCTCACCTGAAGGTCAGACTCTCCTGCAACCCAGTGACACCCCCAGTACTCCCTTGCAGTGTGAACCATCTGAGACTATGAAGTCCTATGAAGAACATGGGACTTGAACCCACAATCTACTAACACAAGAATGCTACCAACTTAACCAAACTGACACATTAAATCACAAAGTCATCTAGCAGCAAAACCCAACTTGGCATCTTCACATTAATGTTACCTTGTCTAGTCTTAGGTACTGAGGAATGGGGGAATGATAAGCAGTGTGGCTCACACTACCTCCTTGAGAAAGTGCAATGTTACAATAATAATCTTTGCATTTGATATAGCGCCTTATCCCATCTTCGAGACGTCTCAAAGCACTTCACAGAATATATTGTAAAGTGAATAAGTTGGATGTTCATACATACAGAAGAATTTTGGTGCTTCCAAAATAATTCAATGACATGAATACTATTTCACCCAAACTACAATCAATCTATTTTACAATATATCTAGTGAAGCACTTTGAGATGTCTCAATAAAGTAATAAGGAAATATATCAAACATTATTATAACTATATTTGCAACTTAACATTATTGTGTATTTTTCGTGTTTCCTAAACAAGATACTTTAATAAGGACACAGGATTTATTAATAAGTAATCTGAGTAGCACAAATTGAGACTTCTTACCGAAACTGGAATTGTGTTACACTTGAAGGATGAAACGCCACTCTGACACAATATAATCTAGAACGAGTTCCCATCTGCCGACATGAGGAATACTATTAAGAAATACCACAAATTAGACCCCAATATATTATTTGATAGATTAGTAACTTAATAACAATAGATTAGTTACTTAATTCAAGGCCTGTCTCTAAATGTACCTCTTTAACCACACAGGTTATTTTATCCCCTCCCTTAAGCATCCACCTCAAGATTAGATGTCCAGGCAGCGGTGACAAGCATTTGGAGAGGTCATCCTTAAGTGAAAGGTGCTGCAGAAATGTATATATGCATTGTACTAGAAAGTACTTGGGAATTAAGGGGCAATTACCTTTTCCTAAAGTAACTAATACAGTGAGTCAAATCTCAATGATTCAGTGACTCCACTGGCTCCCCATCATTCAGAAGATACACTTCAAGATCCTAGTCCTCACCTTCAAAGCCTTCCACAGCCTTGATCCTCCCTCTGTGACCTCCTAACCTCCAACGAACCTGTCCACTCCCTCCGCTCAGTTGGCTCCGGCCTGCTTCACATCCCCCGTCTTGTCCGCCCCACCACTGGCGGGTGGGCCTTTAGCCTCTCTGCCTCCATCCCACTGTCCCTCCACCTCGCCTCCTCCCTTGCCTCCTTCAAAACCCATCTCAAGACCCTCCTCTTTGATCGTGCCTTTGGTCACCCTCAAACCCATACCCTCCCCACCCTCCACCCCACCTGATCCCAACCACCAGCTTGGGTGTGGATCCCTGACTGTTCAGTACCTTGGGAGGTCCTCCTGACATGAAAGGCGCTATAAAAACCTGTTGTTATTGTTGTTGGATTGTTAATATAAGTAAGGGATTGAATAAAACAATATGGCCATTGTATACAAGTCTAAACAAAGTCACAGCTGACCTGAGGCCATGTAAACCTAAGGGGTAGGGGAGGTGGCCATGGGCGCATACAGACAGATAGGTCTTTGAACAGGTTTTGAAAGCAGAGACTGAGGAGGGTGAGATGGGAGGAATTTTGGAAGGGTTCTATGGGGGCTGGAGGGAGAGGCAATATGGTTGAAAGATCACCTGTTAAATGGGGCAGAGTGGTGGTGGGAGGGGGAGGATTAGGACATGAAGATGGCAGAGGAGGAAGTGACTGGGAAGTCGTATCACAGGAGACCACAGAAATAGAGTGCGCAAGGCCATGGAGGCATTTGAGGAAGGGCAAGGATCTTAAAGTTGGTTTGCTGGTTCTCTAGCTCAGACTGCTACTAACCTGCTCCAAAGAACTTTAAGGAGATGTCCCTGTGTGGAAGATGCAATATAAGCGACAAGTGAATTATGCTTTAATTAAGTTAAGTATTCTTATGCCTGTTAGCTGGTGTTGAGCTGACTTCCAGTCTTGATCATAAACGTTGATTTGACTAAGTGAAGGTTGCACAAGCTGGTTAGCGCATGTCGAGAAGACTTGCAGATCATAAGCTTGATTATACAGAGCATACAAAAAGATAGGTCTTTAAACCCCTTAAGCCCTTTAAACCCTTTAAACCCCTCCCTCATACCCTCCTTCCCCATCTTCAGGTCGCGCCTGAAGACCTTCCTCTTCGACCGCTCCTACTGTCACCTTCCCCCTCCCCCTGGCTCGCCCTCGGGCTCCGCCATTGTTAAGTGCTCTGAGATGCAGCCCAGCCGTGGAGGGCACTATATAAATGCAAGTTGTTGTTTTTGCTGTATAAAATGTTGTTAAATTAAATTGAGTTGTAGAACTTTTATCTGTTTATTTGTTCCGTCTAAGTGTAACAGATGTGTCATTCTGGTAACTCTAGATAAAGTGGTCTGAGAAGATGTCAACATGCTGTGTATTGTATTATGAAAGAGTTAAATTGTCTAAGAATGAAGAAGTGAATTTGTTGTTGCCCCTGTAGTTTGTTGTGTCCTGAATGAATTGCTGCTGTGCAGTGTTGTAATTTTAAGCAGTCAGCCCAGTGATTAAAATAATCAGGTGGGTGAAATGGTGCTGACATGCACTGATGGGAACCATGATATAAAGAAGTACAGCTGAGCTACATTTTGGCACATTCTCACATTCAAGGCCCCAACATTCAAGTAATATCAGAAGAAGNAAAAAAGAGGGAGACATTGATGATGTAAGAGTTGTAAGAGATTCAACACCCGCTATTATCAGTGCCCTCAAATACAAGAGAATTTTGCCTGCTGCCTAAGAACTCTGATATGGTCACCACTGTGACGTATATTATCAAGCAAAATATTGTCGATTGTAGCCCTGCCTACTGTAACTAAGTTTATTGAATCAATGCAAAGCTATACGCCTTTTTGCCTCAGTAATTAAATACGTTTTTGAGCATAGAATACAAGCGACTCAAGTCCCCCTGTTCTCAGGTTCCCGACCTTATATTTTGGCTGAACAGGAAAAGCTGGTCTTTTCTGGCTGCACCTTTTGTCCCAGTCTTAACGGGATAGTTAGTTCCACTGCTGACTGCATCGCTGAACCCAATAGCTTGGAAGAGAGGAAGCCAAGTGATAATGGTGGAGATGTGCTTGTGGAGTCTGATGTGCAAAGAGATGTGGGTGGTGAAGTTCTGGATGGTCTGGAGCTTGTAGATGGTTGAGCTGCAGTTGGAGGCCGCCAAGTCAGGTAAAGGAAAAGTCCAGTCCAGAGATGTGGCTAAGAGTTTCAACTTTGTTGGAGGTGGGAGATTGTGGTGAAGGAGGGCAATAATGTAAACATGGAGAAAGGCAGACCTGGTCAAAGCTGGGATCAAAGGTTTGAAGGAAAGATGAGAGTCAAATACACCCGGCTCCTTAAGTTGGGGTGAGTGACCAGGGAGATTGATATGGTCAGCGCTTGAGATGAGGAGGCACCAATGGTAGCTGGGTAGGAGCAGCTCCTGATCTTCTTTACCTCTCGGTCTTTCCCTCAGAATTATTAGACCAGTGCCCAGCCCAGGCATCAGGTTCGAACCCCAATTGTCCTTCCTACCCTTCATCAGGTCCCTGACCAGGACAGGTTTCCTGCCACATTGCCCACCTCCAACCATACAACACCCACCACCAAATTACATTTGTATAGTGCCTTTCACATAGGGAAGATGTCCCAAGGCGATAGACAATCCATGTTTCGGACCCAAACTGAGGGTTGGGATTGGGGAGGGTGGAGGGTGACTAAAGGCACGTTCAAAGAGGAAGGTCTTGAGACAGCTCTGAAAGAGGTGGAGGGACTGTGGGATGGAGTTCCAGAAGGTGGGGGCAGAATAGTTGAAGGTCCGCCCGCCAATGGTGGAGTAAGTGAGGCGGGACGTGAAGTAGGCTGGAGCCCGCTGAGCGGAGGAAGCGGACAGGTTGGTAGGGAGTTAGGATATCACAGAGGTAGGCCATGGAGGGCTTTGAAAGGGAGGACCAGGATCTTGAACTCTATCCTCTGTGTGAAGGGAAGCCAGTGGAGTCGGGCGAGGATGGGAGTGATTGGGCCACGGAGCCTGATGTGGAAGAGGACATGGGCTGCAGAGTTCTGGATGATCTGCAGCCTATGGAGGGAGGAGT